CTGGAGATTGAAGGAACAAACAAGAGACCTCAGTCATTTGAAAGGAGATCAGCCAAATGCCATTTATTTAAACTTAGAAAAACCCTTAAATACCTATATGCTGCACAATGGAATACCCACCAGGCAGGTAGGCCTTCAACATGGTTAAATAATTCCATGTAAAAACTGAGAAGGCTTGAAAAGGAATTCTAGACACAAATATAGAGTTTAACACAGCTTTTTGCTGTTTGATGACAGCGAACCACAGAGAGATTGTCCTGGCTCAGCAGTCAAAGCAGGAAAACAAAGGCAGTTTTACAATATTGGCTTTCTGTACTGTGCCGCAAGCACAAACTCTGTCTCTTGCAGGAGACAGAGAATGTGGATGAGGTTGTGAGCTGATTGCTTGACGGCAACATGGACCAGCATTGTGCCTGGGAGTTGGTCAGTGTGCTTGGCTCAGAGACACAAGCAGCTCTGCCATACTGGAATGTGAAGATCTTGGGTAGGAACTACTGTACTTAACATAATAATAGCACAGCTTATGTTTTTAGAATGGGCAGGCAAACAGATGGTACCGTATAGTTTTTAAGAAGCACTTAGCATTTTAAGAAGTACTCCAGGACAGTAAAGAATTACAGATTTACAAAAGGACAGATTCAGACATGAACAAACATGAAATAGGTCACAGTGTTGAATAAATGTACATAGGCTTGGGAGAGAGAAGAAAAGGAGTATAGAAAGTCATAAAATAAAATTAATGCTTTAGAAAAGGGGTAAAGACTTTAAAGAGACAGAGTAAATTAATAAGAGTAAAAATACACCATGGAAAAATGGAAAATTAACAGAGAGTCTGCATTATGTTATTGTATTATTTTTGAATTTTTTGAGTTTGAAGGAGCTAAGTACAGAAAGATATTTCATTATATGGGCTGCTAAGCTAAACCAGCATATATTATATTATATGGTAGTATATTATAAATGTATTTTGAATTCAGAATTTGGGTCTAAGGATATGGTGCTTTGGAAAAGAGGTTCTTCTTTTGTTTTCACATAAGATGAAAACCTGCATATTGTTTCCACCCCAGTATGGTTTCATGGACTTCCTGAAAGGTTTCCATGAATACCATCGAAAAATTATTTCGCACAACTGCTGACTGAGATGAATCTAGCACACAGGACACACCATGAAAGACCTGATTAATGGTGCCCCCATACAGTAGAAAGAAGTATGGAGGAAAATAACTGTGCCCATATTCCCAGATATTGTTTACAAATGTTCTTTTACATTTAAAAGAGATATAAGATATATATATATATATACTTCAAATTGGTATGGATCTTGGTTTATTAATATAATAAGATAAATCTTATTATATGTATATTTCTGCTCTTGATTGAGGTGTTGTGATTGTGTAGTTTATTTAAAATATAAAATGTATAATTAAGAAATATTAATTAATAGATAGTCATCTATAATAGTCAAGTTTGCAGTCATGTTAGTTAGATTTTCCAGATGTGCATAGATATATTTCAGATGGATAGGCATTCTTAATCTCTTTCAAAGAAAGCGACTGAACTGTCTTTGAAATTTCCTGCTTCACGGAAAAGTCTCCTCAATACTATGGGCCTCTAGGCTGAAGATGGATGGCCCAACGATAAAGAAGAACTATGGGTGACTGTCCAGGCAGTGAGATGACTCTGTCATTTCTAGAGTTTGGAAGTTGCTTACAATGCACTTCCTGTTTACTTAGGTAATAGTATATGCTTCTGGAGTTTTTGATGGAGTTAAAGAACAGATAGATATTATTGTAGTTTTCCTTTTTATGATAAAAGATGAAGTAGTATAAATATGGTAACTGTAGTTCTTACTTGATAACTGTGTTGTCATATGCAATTTTACTTTGTTAAAGTTAAAGCCTTCCTTTTTGTTAAACAGAAACAGGGAAATGGTGTAGGAGTTAATTCTGTTCATGTGTTGCTTTCATTGGGTAATGAATAAAGAAACTGCTTTGTTCCTTAGAGGGCAGGATTTAGGTAGCTGGCGAAGACAGAACTGAATGCTGGGAAGGAAGGTAGAGAGAGAGCCACCATGGAGCCACCAGAGAAAGACATACTGAATATTTCCTGGTAGGCCACAAACTCGTGGTGATATGTAGTTTAATAGAAATGAGTTAAATTAAGATATGAGAGTTAGCCAATAAGAGGCTAGAGATAATGGGCCAAGAAGTGTTTTAATTAATAAAATTTCTGCATGGTTATTTCAGATGTAAGCTAGTTGGGAAACCAGGACAAACAAGTGGGCCTCTCCCCTTCAACAGAAGAGTGGTATATGCTGCTGCCAAGTGCCAGGCCATCTGCATTTTACTATGCTCACAAAACTTCCTGGGCACTTTTTGGGTTTCTTCACAGTTACACAAGCCACACTGTACATCCTCAGAATTAGCCTGAGAACAAGTGGGACAAGATTTGTGAATGGAACATATGGAATGCTGAAGGTATCATGATTGTGAAGTCAGGCTCAGTATGAGTTTGAAAGGCTTTGGACCACATATGTGCAACCTGCTGGACAAATATTCACATCCTGTCAAGGAGTCATCTCTCCATTCTCTTCTACTTTATTGTCCAGATGTCACCCATGGGACATTCTCTCAAGCACAGTGCTAGAGCCTAGGCCAGTGGTAGTGTGTCTCTCACCAGCCCAGGTGCATGCAAAAGCAAGAAAATGGATCCTTCCTCATATGTGCAGCAAACACTCAGGATGCAGTAGACATCTTGCTGTATTTTCTTAAAATCCACATTGAGCTCCAAGGATGCACTAGGGAAGGTGGAGAGATCCTAGTATGGATGCTCTTCAGAACATGTCAGTCACAGCATCCTGAACCTGGACTGTGCCAAGAACCCATTTAGGCACCCAGCAAAAGTAAGGCTGTATTCATGGGGGGATTTACATATGCCCGGACTTCTGCATGTTTCTCAGCAAGTTTGTGAAGGAAGGAGTTCATCATTGTAAAAACAGGGAGCACTGATTGAGCTTTGTTCAAAGGGAGGTGAGAAAGAGGAAGGATCCCAGGGACAGAAGGACAAAAGACATGTTGGGGAAGAGGTAGGTCTGCCATAGAAGGTAAGCATGGAATCATGAGGGCACAATGAATGTGTCTTCAGAGACGCCTTCTAGGGCTACCTCTAGGAAAAAGGATTTTATTGCTGTGAAGAGACACCATGACCATGGCAAACATTATGAAAGAAAACAGTTACTTTGAGCAGGATTACACGCAGAGGTTTAGTTTATTGTCAGGAAGAGGTAATTAGTGAGCCACTAGGTCTATCTTGAGCTTCTCCGATCTCAAAGCCCACCACCAAGTGAAACACTTCTTCAACAAGTCCACACATACTTCAACATGGCCACACCTCCAAAAATGCCACTCTCTATGAGTCTATGAGAACATTCAGACCACCACAGTAGTTACAGAATGCATCGATAAGTCTTACATATGGCTGTTTCCTCTCAACCAACAAGGTAGACATGGAGAATGGAGACAGGGCTAAGCATGGTAGATCTCACCTGTAATCCCAGCATACAAGACATGGAGGCAGAGAAATCTCTGAATTTTCTTTCACTCTTGTCTACTTATAAATTCTGGGACAGCCATAACTACACTGTGTAGCTCAAAACAAAAACAAAACATAATAGAAACTGAAGGCAGAATGTCTGGGTTCCCCTACACAACCGACTAAATTTCATACCCTTTAAGCTTGTTCCGACTTCTCTTCTCTCAGAGCTTGATATTCACATTTGGTCCCATGTACACTGTGATGGTTCCCACATGAAGTGAGCTCCTGTAGGTTTGACTAGCTCAGACTTATGAATGGGGCAGGATTTGGCCCATGGTGCTGATCAGGCAGGATGAAATGCTACAGCTCAGGGGCATTCACCATGTTCTTGATCCATTCCTTGACAGGCACCTACATGGTGCCTCTCCATCCCGGTCTTAACTTCCGTCAGAGTCAGTGAGCTATAGCAATGGTGGCCCATTTCTCTTTTCCTGTTTTATCTGGATTTGGGGACACACCTTCAGCAGGCATTGTAATTCTCAAGCTCCATGTTGGGATTCTGCTTGGAATCCATTGTTCAGGCTTTTGGGGTCAACTCTCAGGGCACATCTGTTAGTGATTTTACATGGAATGCAGCTATGCACACTGAAGACAATATTTACATGCATATATGTGTTCATGTGTGTATGCACATATGTATATATATAGTAAAACTCACTTAGAATTACATTATCCAAGTAAATATGTGGTGTGTGAAATGTCACAATTCCCTCTGTCCTGTACCCTACAAATAGATAGATGACAGATGATAGATAGATAGATAGATAGATAGATAGATAGATAGATAGATAGACAGACAAGACAGGTGCTGTATGCAGTCTTGAGAATTCAATGGGTTCTAAGCGATGTTACATTTCAATGCTTGTGTGAATGTACCCAGAAGACACAACATTAACAGGATGGCTGACACAGAAATCATAGCATCTATCTAATGGTTAAATGGCCCCAAAGGTGTTCACAGTCCCTTCTACTTGTTACCACCAGAAGGAGAGGGACTGCCCCATCTGCACACCCTCACTGAAAATCCAACCGTCCCTGTAGTTTGTGGCCAGAGCCTGTGTCCTTGTCCTCCTTGTCTTTGCATCTCACAAACAGGCTCAGAACCCTTCAGGAAGCTGCTAATGTTGAGAAGGCTCTGAAATACTGAGCATGCTCCTAAATACTCTGGCTTTAGGGCTGCATCCTGTAGAATGAGGCTGTTCACGTGACAGTCTCCCTCTGCCTGGCTCTTTCTCTCTCTCCAGGTAACCTAGGCAACCACACACTCCATCCTGTCAGAAAAATCCCTTTTTCTCGCAGGCTATTGATTTCCTCTGGCGCAGTGGTTTCAGGAAGAGATTTAAAAACTACACCTCTCGTGGGCTGGCGAGCGGCCGGGCGACAGCATGACAGAGCCGAGCGGCAGCATGACAGAGCCGAGCGGGGCAGAGATGAGGCCCCAGATTCGGGTCACCGTCAAGACCCCCAAGGACAAGGAAGAGATCGTGATCTGCGATAGAGCCTCGGTCAAGGAGTTCAAGGAGGAAATCTCCCGGAGGTTTAAGGCTCAGCCGGATCAGCTGATCCTGTTCTTTGCAGGTAAGATCCTCAAGGATGGAGACACACTAAACCAGCATGGGATCAAGGATGGGCTCACGGTCCATTTAGTCATCAAGGCCCCTCAGAAGGCTCAAGATCCAGTGGCCACTCCTGCTTTTCCCCCATCCACTCCCGACTCTGCTTCTGCACCCTCCACCACGCCTGCCTCCCCTGCTGCCCCCACCCAGCCCTGCGGCTCTGGCAATGCCACTTCAGATTCTGGCAATGGAGGAGGACCCTCTCCAGTGGCTGCAGAGGGGCCCCCAAGTGCCACTGCATCTATTCTCTCTGGCTTTGGGGGCATCCTTGGTCTAGGCAGTCTGGGCCTGGGTTCTGCCAACTTCATGGAGCTACAGCAACAGATGCAGAGACAGCTCATGTCCAACCCTGAGATGCTGACACAGATCATGGAGAACCCCTTGGTCCAGGATATGATGTCAAACCCTGACCTGATGCGCCACATGATCATGGCTAACCCCCAGATGCAACAGCTGATGGAGAGGAACCCTGAGATCAGCCACATGCTCAACAACCCCGAGCTCATGAGACAGACAATGGAGCTTGCTCGGAACCCAGCCATGATGCAAGAAATGATGCGGAACCAGGACCAGGCCCTCAGCAACTTGGAAAGCATTCCTGGAGGATATAATGCCCTCCGCCGGATGTACACCGACTTCCAGGAGCCCATGCTCACAGCTGCTCGGGAACAGTTTGGCAACAATCCCTTCTCTTCCCTGGCCGGGAACTCCAGCAGCACATCTTCCCAGCCTCTTCGGACTGAGAATCGAGAGCCCCTCCCTAACCCCTGGAGCTCCTCGCCCCCCACCTCCCAGGCCCCCGGGTCCGGTGGGGAGGGCACCGGAGGATCGGGGACCAGCCAGGTGCACCCGACAGTCTCGAACCCCCTTGGGATCAATGCGGCTAGCCTGGGGTCAGGGGTGTTCAACAGCCCAGAAATGCAGGCGCTCCTCCAGCAGATCTCTGAAAACCCCCAGCTGATGCAGAATGTGATCTCAGCCCCTTACATGCGCAGCATGATACAGACACTCGCCCAGAACCCTGACTTTGCTGCTCAGGTAATGGTGAATGTCCCACTGTTTGCGGGGAATCCACAGCTTCAGGAGCAGCTCCGCCTGCAGCTCCCTGTGTTCCTGCAGCAGATGCAGAACACAGAGTCGCTCTCCAACCTCACCAATCCCCGGGCCATGCAGGCCTTGCTGCAGATCCAGCAGGGCCTACAGATCCTACAAACTGAAGTCCCTGGGCTGGTACCAAGCCTTGGCTCCTTTGGAACATCCCGGATCCCTGTACCCCTGGCAGGCAACTCTGGGTCTGCAGCCGAGGCCCCCACGCCCTCCCCAGGCCTACCAGGCACACCTCCTCCCACGGCAGGTTCCAGTGCCCAGCAGCAGATGATCCAGCTTCTGGCTGGAAGTGGAAATTCACAGGTGCCGATGCCAGAAGTGAGATTTCAGCAGCAGCTGGAGCAGCTCAATTCCATGGGCTTTGTCAACCGTGAAGCTAACCTACAGGCCCTGATCGCCACAGGTGGGGACATCAATGCCGCTATTAAGAGACTCCTGGGATTCCAGCTTTCCTAATCCCTTGGTCCTTGCTGCTTGCCTTCCCCAGCTCTCAGTGCCAGCCTTTGGCTCCTCTGTCAAACCCTACCTTCTGTAGCCTTCTTTGACCTCTACAAACAACAGGGTGAATCTGGAAGCCTGGGCCCAGCCCCATAGCTCTGTTCAAGTGTTTTGATTTTGTTGCTGTCTTATGAAATCCTTCCTCCTGGGCCTCCGAGCAGAACTAGTCTGCACAATTGGGTCATTTGGCCCTACCTCCTTGCCCACAGTACTTTGGCAATGTGCAGTCTTCTCCCAGGGTCTGAGAGAGGACCCCTCTGGCTCCCCAGAGTCTTCGTAGGCACCACTACGATGGAGGAAGGTCATTGGCTAATAAAGAAACTGCCTTGGCCCATCTGATAGGGCAAAATTTAGATAGGCGGAGTAAACAGAACAGAATGCTGGGAAGAAGAGGAAGTGCGCTGAGAAATCATGCAGCTCCTCTCAAAGCCAGAAGCGATGAACCAAGCCGCCATCTTAACCGGTAAGTGCACCTAGTGGTGCTACACAGATTATTAGAAATGGGTTAAATTAATACATGAGAATTAGCCTAGAAGAGGCTAGATATAATGGGGCATGCAGTGTTTAAAAGAATACAGTTTGTGTGTTGTTATTTTGGGGCATAAGCTAGCCAGGCAGCCAAGAGCCCGGCTGTGGAAAGAGGCCAGAAGCTCCCTCAACAGGATGGCACCCAACGTGGATAGCTTAGGCCACAGAAAGCCTGAGAAAGCTTGGGAAAGAATAGAGTAAAGCATGTTTTCTTAGTAGCAGCAATTTCTTGGGTCTGCTCTGCTTGCTAGAGGCAAGCAAGTGCTCTCATCTAAGAGAGGCTTCCTGACTCAGCTTTAGCTGCAAAACCCTGCAGCTCATTAAGAGGTCCTGCCATGAAACACTTAAATGGTATTGATAAAAGCTGAACGCATGGTTTTCGGTTTTCAGCTGTAGCAGGAAAAAAGTTGTGCAGTTTTATTTAAAATGCTGGCTTTCTGGTCTGTCCTGCCAGGGCAAACTCTGATTCTTTCAGGCAGTCAGTCCAAATGAGTGTGATCTGTGAGCAGAATGCTGAAACGTGCTTGCTAGCAGGGACTTTGAAACACCACAGAGTTGTGGCGATAAAAATGGCTCCAGCAGTACCTCTGCCATGAAGCTGGAAAGCTAAGGAATGGGCTGGATCTAGCCAGCAAAGCCACGGCTTTAATCCTACCCATATTGGTCAGTAATTTAAAGGCTCATGTGGTCAGAATGAGAGAGAGAGATACAGTAAAGAGAGATTCAAAAAAAAATCCTTTAAATGATTTCCAGTGTGTTAAAAATATATGCTGGCTAAAAGTTAAAGTTCTTAAAGTAAAAAAGAAAAAAAGGAAGAAAGAGAGTAGTTGGGTGTGGTAGTACACAATCCCAACACTTGGGAGGCAGAGGTAGTTTGACCTCTGTGACTTCAAGGTGTGGTGGCACACGCCTTTAATCCCAATGCCTGGGAGGCAGAGACGAGACAGAGGGATCTCTGAGAGTTCAAGGACAGCCTGGTCTACAGAGTTATTCCAGGACAAAGATATACAGAGAACCTGTCTCAAAAAAAAATAATAAAAGTAAAAATAAATGAAATAGAGGTTAAAACAAAGCCGCACAAAGATGGAAAATACACAGAGAATCTTGATACTGTGTGCTATTATGTTCTCTTTGAATTGTTTGCTGAGGAAGGAGCAACAGCTGCTAAAAGATATTTGTTTATAAATGCTGCTGAACTAATCTAACATAGATATTTTGAAAATGCCTTGACTTCGGAATTTGGATCTAAGGACATGATGCTTTGGAAAGGAGTTTTTTCTTTTGTTTTCACAGAGGGTGAGACCCTGTGGATTTCTTCTATTCCAATATGGTATGATGGACCACGCCCTCCTGAAGGATTGCTGTGAACACCTTCAAAAAATTACTTCACTTGACTGCTGACTGAGATGAATCGAGCACACAGGTTATCCCATAAAAAAAACTAAATAACAGCGCCCCCATTCAGCAGGAAGCAGTTTGGAGAGAAATAGCTGCGCCCATATTCCCAAATATTGTTTATAAATGTTCTTTTACATTTAAAGGAGGATATGGTATAGATATGAGTAATTTGCATTTGTATAAATTTTGCCTTATTAATAGAAATTTAAGGTCAATATTATTATATGTATATGTATTTTTGATCTTGATTAAGGTATTGTGATTGTGTAGTTCATTTAAAAATATAATGTATAATTAGGAAATATAGGTTGTTAACAGATAATCATTGATAATAGTTAGGCTTGTAGTCCTGTTAGATTTTCTAGATATATGGAGCTATATTTCAGTTAGATAGACATTCTTCATATCCTTCAAAGACTGTAGAATATGGCATTTAATCTTTTAATAACTTAGGGTTTTCATGACAATGAGAAACGTCTGCTCCTGGCAGTACCAATCTACTTCAAAAGGAAGATGGGCATCTAAGAGGCTCCTTATGGAGTTTGATAGCCATTAGGGCAAGAAACTGCTCTTGCCTGGATTATTGCATAAACTGGACACAGAGAACCCTCAGAGAGAGGACTGCTGAACTTGCCTAAAGGTGAGATGACCTTTCAGCATTCCTGATTCATGAAAGAGTCTGTGAGACATTCTGCAGGACACAGCAGATAGTGACTGAACTGCCTTTGAAATTTCCTGCTTCATGCAAATGTCTGCTGGAAACTATAGGCCTGTAGGCTGAAGATGGATGCCCCAATGGTACAGAGGAACTTTGTGTGACTGTCCAGGCAGCGAGATGTCTCTGTGGTTTCTAGAGTTTTGGAAGTTTCTTACTTCTCATTTACTTAGGTAATATTATATCCTTCTGGAGTCTTTGATGGAGTTAAAGAATATATAGATAGTTATAGTTTTTCTTAGTTATGATAAAAGATAAAGTATATGTAAATATTGTAACTGTAATTCTTACTTGATAAATATTTTGTTATATGTAATTTTGCTATGTTAAAGTTAAAGCCTTTCCTTTTTGTTTAAAAAGAAAAAGGGGAAATGATGGAGGAAGGTTATTGGCTAATAAACTGCCTTGGCCCATCTGATAAGACAGAATTTAGATAGGCAGAGTAAACAGAACAGAATGCTGGGAAGAAGAGGAAGTGAGCTCAGAAATCATGCAGCTCCTCTTAGAGCCAGACGTGATGAAGCAAGCCGCCAGGTCAGACATGCTGAATCTTTCCCGGTAAGTGCACCTAATGGTGCTACACAGATTATTAGAAACGGCTAAATTAATACATGAGAATTAGGGTAGAAGAGGCTAGATATAGTGGGCCAAGCAGTGTTTAAAAGAATACAGTTTGTGTGTTATTTTGGGTCATAAGCTAGCCAGGCAGCCGGGAGCCGGGCTGTGGAAGAGGCCCGCATCTCCCTCAACAACACTAGGCTTTAGCTTGCCCTAAAGCTTTAGCTTGCTCTAGCTCTCCTCCTCTCCTCCTGCACCTCAGCCTAGCCAGTGTGTGGATTTTACTCTCTGGAGAGGAGCTGACGAAATGCTGTAGTTTTCTTTCTCTACCCCTCTTGCACATTCACCCAGCATTTTCTCATGGGCTCCTTTGGGATTCTCAGGCAGGGAGAAAGATTCCTGTCCTCTTGCCCAAAGGGAGCCGTGAGCCACCACTCTGGGCAGGATTGCCAATAACAGACAAGGCCAGCAGAGGCTCATGCTGGGGAGTTCCTGGAGACAGGGACTTGGGGAGACAGCCTGAACTGGAGTCTGGGAAGTTTAGATTGAGAGTTAGGATCTAGAAACACCAATAGATTTCAGGTTGGAGAACCAGACCCAGGCCTGACAGGAGAGAGAGGGACTGGTGGAATTTGAATTGAAGAACTCAACAGAGCTGAGCAGTGTGGCCCGCAAGGAGCCAGGTTGGTTCTATTGTCTCCAACATATGTGTTTATGCACACACACGTTTCCATGTGCCCAGGACCTACCTACATCCTCAGGCTCCAGTACTTCTAGCCCCACTCCTAGAAGATACGGGGATTGGATCTTTCTTAGCAGTGTGAAGAATTTGTATCTGTCCATACATGTGCGTTCACCCAGGTTGAGGAAAGTGTGTTCTTTGTTGGTTTCTGGTTCACAGCTTTGTCAACAGAGATGAGGGGGTAACAAGGGCCAGCCTACTGGAGAAATACAGCATTGGGAGAGCTGAGTCTCCTGGGTTCCTGGGTGTTTCTCCTAAAGACAGTGGCTCTGACTGAGACCCTTGCCACTATTACTCTTTTGCTGGAAAAAAAAAATAGTGAGGTCTCTCTTCCAGAGCTTGTGCTTTCCATTTCCTTGCTGTTTCCCTCTAGGCCAGAAAGTTCTATCTGAGGAAGGGACGGGAATGAGGATGGAACTGGGCTTAGCTCAGCTGGAGTACTGAGAAGGCTCTCAGCAGGTTCTCTCTGCCTTGTGGTTTGGCTAATTGGAGGAGCTCTGGCTGAGAGGTAAAGAAGGAAAACAATTCTGCTCCAGCTGGGGAAGGGTCCCAGCAGTTCAGACATGCCTGCCCTTTTGCTCTCTAACTCCCATCACCTAAAATCACCTTTGTAAATAAATGATTATTGTTGTAACCGTAAAAAAATAAAATAAAGAATTAAAACTACACCTCTGCCACCATCTACTGTCCAGAGTCCTCACAGTGCCTCAAGCTGAGTCATGACATTTGAGAACATTCTCTCCAACATGTCACAATTCCCTCTGTTCTGTGTAATAGGAGATAAATAGATAGATAGATAGATAGATAGATAGATAGATAGATAGATAAGATATGTGCTGTAAACAGTCTTGAGAATTCCATGGATTCTAAGCAATGTTCCATTTCACCACATCTGTGAATGTACCCAGAAGACACAACATTAACAGGATGGCTGACACAGAAATCATAGCATCTATCTAATGGTTAAATGGCCCCAAAGGTGTTCACAGTCCCTTCTACTTGTTACCACCAGAAGGA